CGGTGGCGCCTCGGGACGAGAGTCCTGGGGAAACGCCCGGCGCGCCGGGGAAGAAAGGCGCTCCGCTCGGAGTGGGGCCGGTTGGCCGGCCGGCCGCGCTTTGCAGGCTGCTATCCTGGACGGAGGAATGGGAAGGAGAAGCAGCAGCCGGAGGATCTTGAACTTCCGATGGCGAGGCGACAGAGTCGAAACGGCTGGTTCCCCACGCCTCGTTACCGGTGCGACAGCTACTCTGTTTCCTCGCCTCGCTTTCTTTTCCCTTTTTTTTTTAAAAAAAATATATACTTCTCCTTCCTGGCCTCTCTGAATTGTTTGGTGTATTTTACTTTCTCTTTCTGGTTCATTATTTTAGAGAGATCTTTATTTTCATTCTCCCCCCCCCCAAGTAAACCCAGCCGGAGTTCCACGTCTCACAGGCAGTAGAGCGATTGGAAATGGCTGTTGCTTGGGGGAAAGACCCGCCTCCGAACTACATCTGGGGTGCGGCCGATCTCAGGGCAGGCCAAGAATCGGGATTTCTCCCCTGGGTTTCTTAGAACAGTTTCAGGAAAGCAGGATCAAGACGGAAGAGGTAAGGAAAGGGTGCTGTGTATGCCATGCCCTTTGGCCCTCTCTTTTTCATGAAGCAAGCTTTTCTACCGGTTCTGAAGATCTGCCTGCCTGCCCGCCTGATCCACTTTTTTTTTTTTTTTTTTTTTTTTTTTTTTTTAGCTTTCAAATGTATGGGTAAGCACGAGGGTGTTTTTGGGTGCGGCTGAGCGTGTGCCATTCCTTGACTACCGGATGGGTTCACACATCCCTGGCAGTGACTCACAGGGCTGCTGCTGGGCTGGCTCAGCCCACATGGGCAGCCAATATGACTCTGGGCGTGTGTATGCGGTGGTGCCAGACTGGTTGATTGGAACTGAGTGTCTGTGGGTTTGGTTTGACGGCAAAATTACCAAACAATCCACTGCTGAAGGAGGCCGATAGGCACACGGCATATTTATTTGTTTATTTATTTATTTTAAATACCCCGCCTTTCTCCTTAAAACAGACAGGTTGCAAACTCACATAGGCCAACGTGAGCTATGATATAGTCAGTTCACTTGGACAGTTCTGGTTCAGCTCAGGTTGCCAACCAGGGTTTTCTTGTTTGTGTGTGTGTCGGTCACAGTGGGTGAGATCAGCCACAGCCTTACCCAGTGAAGCTTCCTCCGTCCCACTGTACTGTATTTCTAGAGGTGAAGAAAGGTTTTACTTGTTGTACGCCTGCTTTTCATGCTGGCATGGATGCCCAGAAATCTTTGACGCAGAGCTTATAACATTGTTTTGAACAGAAATGACTAGAATGACATGCTAAAGCTGCTGTCCAGGTCTAAGCAGAGGCAGGAGGATGCTCCTCGGGGTCATGCTTTTTAAAAAGAAGTTGTCAGGTTCTGCCTTGCAGGGAGGGAAGGAGAAACCTCTTACTTTCATCCCTCTGGCTGCAATCCCGAGAGAGGCCCGAAAGTCATCAACTAGAGGTAGGGTCTTCTCGGTGGTGACACCAACATTATGAAATCAACTTTCAGAGGAGCTACACCTGGCCCTCTCCCTGTACTCTTTTAGGAGGCAGTTAAAAACACTACTTTGCAAGGAGGCCTTTCACCTCCACCCGAATGGAATACCTTGCCTCCAGTCTTGCTTCATTCTGAAGACTGGTTGTATAATTGATTATTTGGTTTTAGATGTTTTTGTTATTTATTTTGTATTGTATTTTGTATTGTTTATTGTGCTGCTTGTTTTTTCTTTTAAACCGCCCAGAATAGTGTTTAGGCACTAATGGAGCACTATATAAATCAAATCAAAGTAATAAATAATAAAATAAATCATGCACACATTCATCTCAGAATAATAAATCACACTGAGCAACAATGAGATGTGTCTCCAACTAACGCTACATGAGATAGTCCTGCTAGCATAAGGTGGACAATGCCAGTGTTCAATCCTAGAATGTGTAGCAATCTTGAGAGTGTTCCTGGAGGTCCCACTCATATCTAAAGAAGTGGATTTATCCATGAAAGCTCATATTAAGATATAGCAGTTAGTGTTTAAGATGCCACAACACTTTTGTCTTCTTTATTTTTTAGGTTTATTTGGTTTTCGCCTGATATATTGGCACAAACTAACACGGCTAGCTCTTCTAAAACTACTTCCTGGATTTTGTTAATTCTCGTTAGTTCCACAAAACATATAAGGTGACCCGTGACTCCCCCAGAAAACACCTTGGAGGTCAAAACCCTCAGGTTGGGAAATGCTGAGATAAACTCATGGGAGAACAAACCAACCTCACCAGAGACGGGGCAGGCTGTCTTGTCTCCAGGAGCAGATATTGAGCATCATCAAAGGGCTGGAAGCTGGGTTGTTTATTTGGTTGTTACTGCTATTGCATGTTTACTATCAGTATGGAGGAGAGGTGTTTATGGGCTCTTCTGTCTTATTTGTCAGAACAATTTGGCTGCCCTTAAGTAGTATAGACTTTGATGGCTGAGGCAGTGGTAGTGGTGGTGATGGTGGGAAGCATTTGTTGCATTGCCTCAGGAAGCAAAATGTCTTGTACCAGCCCTACAAACTATAATCCAAAGGCAAGGCTTTATAACTGTGTAATAATTTAATGGAACCTCCCTGTGCAGGGAAGGTGTGTCTCTGAATAATGTCAATTTATGGGAAGCCGTAGCAGGGATATAGGGTGTGGTTACCTTTTCCGAAGCTGCTGGAAGGGAAGGGGCAAATTTCAAGGCTGGGCACATGCCTGATCTCTCTCCTTTTGTGGGAAGTTTGTGAGGCCACGTGACCAAAACCACAACACCCAGACACGAGATGGAAGTTCTAGCAGATGGGGAGACCCTTGCATAAGAATGGGGACAGAGGACTGGAAGAGCCCCATAGTAGCCATGAAACGTGAAGGGAAATAAAAGTGATAATCAAGGGGTTGGGAAAAATAGAGCAGAGTGTCTAGAAAAGGAGAAGTGCATAAAGGACAGATACAGAGCTCAGAAGGACTTAAACCTATGGTGTTGCACCCAGGACAAGGATGGGTGAAACCTTTATTATACCATTAAAGTACAGTATCACAAGCAGAAACTAGCTTTTGACTTTTTCGTTGGTGCCCAGCCTGATGAAGACTTCAATAGGAGTCGAAAGCTAGTTTCTGCTTGTGATATAGTTTAATAATTAACAATAATTACATACAGTACTGACTAGTTGATTCCAACTTAGGGTGACCTTTCTCAGGATGTTCTAGGCAGAGTGTGCCCGGAAGTGGTTTCCCATTCCCTTCTTCCAGGAACACCCATGATACAGCTTGCTCAAGCCTCTACACAGACTGGCTCTTCTCCTGGAGTGCACAGTGGGGAAGGGAACTCCCTCTGACTCCGTGGCCAGATATTGCTCTAGTGAAGGCATCACCCACTCTTGTCTTTGAACAGTGATAAAGATGCAAATTGTCTGTCTGAATAGCTCACTTCTTGGTTCGTGTTGAGAGGCTGTTTAAAAGATTTCCTAGGGTGAAAGCATACTGTAGAAATTGATGTAGAAATTGAATAGGACCCCTGTATCTACAGGGAATCAGTTCCAAGCACCTCCCTCGCCTGTGGATGCTGAAAAACCCAGATTACAACAAATGCTACTGTATTTTAATAGTGCTTGCTATACATAACATGGCCTCTGGCTCCCTCTAATGGCCAGTTTTGGTGACTTCATCTTTATAAATGTTTCTATGATTTTTCTTTTGGTATTTTTAATATTTTCAGACCATGGATAAGTACATCAGTGGATACTGATCCCGCGGATATGGGGGTCCAGATGTATTTTAATGTATCTGGGGTTGGGTAATGTGTCCACCCTATGTTACTGTGGGTAAAATGGCACAGGGGAATGAAACTCTGTGTTATCTGCTGTTTCTAATTTAACATTGCAAGGTTGAGTTGTCAACAGCCTTGCTTGAGTTGGACTGTACCTCCCAGCATTCCTGACCAGAGGTAGTACTGGGGCTGGTGGGAGCTGGTAAGGGAAGGCTAACTTTCTCACCAGAGGACTACCCTTGTCCAACATAATTCATGCTCTTGCCTCTTCTGGAGTTTGGAAGTTTTGGA